TTCAATGATCTTACTTAAAAATGGGAGATTTGAGATCGGCCTGTAGTTGTTCATTGTGTCTTGTCAAGATTGTCCTTTTTCAGTATAGGTTTGATTACAGCAGTTTTTAGTGGTTCTGGAAACACACCTGATAATAAAGAAAAGTTGACGATCTGTAACAGGTCTGACTCTAAAGTCTTTGAGACCTTTTTGAAAAAACTTGTTGGCAGGACATCTAAACAGCAGGAGGAGGAGTTCAGTTGACCTAAGATGTCCTCCAGGTCTTTGCTGTTAATAGGTTGAAACTGTTTCATGGTGTTTAAACAGTTTTTTGGTGACACAGTACATATCCTGGATCTGCTGTTGATGTACTAATTGCTTGTCTAATTTTTTGGATTTTTTCAGTGAAGAATTTGCAAAGTCATTGCAGGCCATGGTTGAATGAAGTTCAGCTGCCACTGACACAGGAGGGTTTGTTAGCCTGTCAACTGTAGAAAAATAAGACCCGAGCATTATGGCTGTTTTTAGTGATGATGTCAGAGAAGTAGGACCTCCTTGCATTCCTCAGTTGTAAATTATAATTGTGAAGTTTCTCTTTATAGATGTCATAATGAACCTGGAGGTTTGTTTTTCTCCATCTGCGCTCAGCTTTCCTACACTCTCTTTTTTCATTTTTCACCAGTGTGGAGTTTCTCCATGGAGACTTTTTCCTTCCAGAATAACCTTCACCTTAATGGGAGCAATAGTGTCCATTACATTTAACATGTTAGCATTGAAGCTATTGACGAGCTCATTGACTGACCCTCTGGACAGGTCAGGTGTTAATGGGAAGACCTGGTTAAAAATTGCACTACTGTGTTCAGTTATGCACCGTTTTGTGATCACTGTTGGTGATATATTGTGTGGGCTGAGATTTTACTTTCAAAGAAAACACAGTAATGATCAGACACGCCCACATCAGACACAGTAACCTTTGAAATGCTCAGGCCTTTGGAGATCAGTAGGTCAAGAGTGTGTCCTCTATTATGTGTGGCCTCTGTTACATTAATAAAGATTCTGATTCTGATCTGATTTCACCTTTCAAGTAGACCGACACAGTTACAGCAGACGTTTACACACGAGTTAGAGACAACAGCTGGAGAAACATCTGTCTACCTCTAACTTCCACCAGCTCATCCATACAACAAACAAACATCAACAACCAGGAAGCAGCTTCACCTCTGATCACACACACACTCACCTGGAGGAACAACAACACTCAGGCTGATGATGCTGATGAGCTGCCATGAGTCTGTTTCTGCCATGAAGAGACGACACCTGTATATTCCAGCGTCATTAATCGTCACATCCTTCAGAATCAAAGACACGTCTCCATCCTTCATCTGTCTGTCCTGCAGATCCACCCGGTTCTTAAAAGATGGATGCTGGAGATCTGGATCAAAGTGACCATTCCAGTATGAAAGGACATATTTTGGCTCCAAGTCAGCTCTGCTCCATCTTAAAAGTATGATTCTTTTTGTTTGGAGCTCGACATGGCAGAGTGACGTCCTGTCCAGACTCAGCTGTAATCATTTCCAGATCTGAAAGAGGAAACAACACAGAGCCGAGAGGTTAAAGGTCAAAGTACAATCACGATCAGAATGATTGACTTTTAAAATTTTGTTTATTTCCTTTGACATTTGAGTTTTTAGTCATGTTGGATTTGATGAACCTCTGAACATCCACCAGGTCACAGTGACCCACTGAGGGGGAATTTTAGCCTCATGCTAAACATGCAAAGTGTCAGAAACTACAAGATGTTAGCTTCCACAGAACAACAACATGTGCTGGTAATAAGTGAACATAATGTGTGAGAGAAAGCAGCCTCTCAGTATAAGACACTGTGAGCCTCTGCATGCTGCTTTATGGAGCTACAGCTGTTTGTATACACTGAACAGAAAGCTTTGTAGCTGCATCCTGACTCCTGACACTACAACACATCACACACATCTCATACTGAACTGGAGATTGTTATTCATGCTTTTATTCATCACGACTGGACTATTGCAATTCACTGTTTACATGTCTAAACAAAAGTTCCCTGGAGCGTCTGCAGACTGTCCAAAATGCTGCAGCAAGGCTTCTGACGAAAACATCGAAATACTCACATATAACACCGTTGCTTATACAGTTACACTGGCTCCCTGTCGAATTCAGAGTCCACTTTAAGATTCTGGTTCTGACATTTAAGGCTCTTCAAGAACAAGCACCATCATACATCATTGAACTCTTACAGCCCTATGCCCCTAGTAGGTCTCTGAGGTCTTGTGGTCAGGGCCTACTTGTTATTCAGTATACAAGACTGAAAACTAGGGGTGATCGAGCTTTTGCTACTGTGGCCGCCAGACTGTGGAATTCTCTTCCTCAGAACTTAAGATCTGCTGATTCACTGATTACTTTTAAAAAACAGCTAAAAACATCTTTTTAAAATTGCATTTTGTTAACTTTTGACTGTACTTTGTTTTTTTAATCTGTGCCTATACCTTGTAAAGCACTTTGTGATCCTTTATCTAGAAATGTGCTATATAAATAAAATTTTACTTACTTACTTACTGACACACACATTCCACTTCTTTGTCTCTGTCACAGCTGCATTACAGATGTTAAGTGTCCACCCAGCCTCGTGTCTCCTTCACACACACTGAAACAATATGAAAATAAGGGTTTGTTAGTAACATGTAAACCAGCTGATGTATCTCGGGGACAGTTTAGTTTGGAAGAGTTAATAAACACAAAAACATGACAAACATCAGAGTGAGTGACGTAGTTAGAGCAGAGATACGGCTTCTGTAGTTCTGCTGATCTTATTTTGTCATAACCCTTGTTATTGTTTTGTGTCGATGGGATTTAAATAAAGTCTTCAGTAAAGCTGAAAATCACAGCTGATCGCTCCGAGTTTTCATTTTATGCCTTAAAGAGGAAAACAATGGTAAGAAAATAATAAATAAATAAAATGCGCAGCTGTTCTTTAACCAGCTCCACGGTATCAAACTGAATGTATTATTCAGAATAGAGAGAGACTTTATTAGTCTCTGCACACACGGACAAACTGAACCAGTATGAAAGTAACTCTGCTGCCAGCTGTTTGTCTCACAGGAAAATGTTTGCTTTTAAAAAGTCGAACAAATATTAATATTTTTACCATGCAGCCAATTTTTTCTCAAATGACCTCAGTTTGTGTTTTAATCCAGTTAAATTCTGAAACCTCACCTGCAGAGACGAACACGACAAACACCAAAGCGGAGCAGAGTGACGCAGTTACAGCAGACATGTTTCTGCTGAGAGTTAGGGAGGTTAGCTAGTTTGTCCTAAAAGTCTGCTGCTGTTTTCAGCTGAGGTTAAACCTGAACACATCAGATTACATATTTAATAATGTTTTGCCTTTCAGCTCTTCTTGCTCCTCCTCCAGTATTTCATACTAATGCAGCTCCTTCTCCTTCTTGTTCATCCGTTTTAGTAACAGCTTGCATCCAAAGATGTCGCACTACTGCCCTCTGCTGGGTTTATTGTTACATCACTTCCAAATCCTTAGAGCCACTGGATGAGTCCAGTATTTCTCAAAAACTGATAAACCCCTCCTTTCCCTTCATCATGACTTAAGCACTCAGTCACCTTTTCAAACTTCTGTAGTACTACCCATTACTACCCTCAACATTCTCCTTTGACTGACATATTTCCTGCAACTAATAAGCAAACGCTCAATGCTTTCTAGCATTACACCAATTACACAACCCAGTCGGATGTTTCTCCATCTTAAAAATAGTGCCATAGAGAAAGCAATGCCCTGCTCATATTCTACTTATAATTATCTCCTCCCACCTATTTAATCCTCTACTCCTCTGAACTTCTATTGTGTTTTGCAATCTATATAAATGTCTCCCTTTTATTTCATCAGCCCATGCCATTTCCATTTTAAATTCTTACATACTGTTTCCTTCAGATTTAGACAATGGTATCTGCACATCAACATCTACTCATATAACAGCTTCCTTAGCAAAACTATCTGCTCTTCCATTACCCAGAATACCTACATGAGCCAGAGTCTACATTATTACAATATCTTTACTTTTTCACACAATCTATGATGAGCAAAAGGAAGCTCATACAGAATTTGCTGATGGTTACTTGTATTTCCTTTTCCAATGCATAATAATGCCGACAATGATTCACTACATATTATTACTTTTGATATTCGACTGTCTTCCACCCATTCTAATGCCAGCAATGTGGCATATAACTACTGCTGATGCTGCTCCTTTTCTTCTATGTTTTGATGGCGGTAGGCAGCAGACCACTCACTTCCAAGTGCATTACTGCCAGCCTTTAGATTGGAGTATGGAGCAGAATCTACAGCACCACCAGCACCACCTCCTGTTGTTTTTAATCAAAAGATAGCAGCAAAAACTAAAAAGAGACTTCTAGAAATAAATTATCCTTAAGTTATTTTTTGTTCTTATGAAGATTTCCGACTAATATTTCTCTCTGATGGCCGTGTTTATAACAATCTAACAATATGCTCTACTCTTTCCATTTGCCTGCAATAATCACAATAACTTTTACCATTTTAATAATGAATTTAAGCTATTTATTCCAGCCTGACTAAAGCTCTCGTTCTTTGGTTTTTCAGGGTTTTTTTAAGTAATTTGTCTTACTTTTCCTGTCCTGTCTGGCACTGTAACAATCAGAATTATTTTCTGAAGGTGGGGGGGCAAGTCCTGCTAAGCAGCCACCAACAGTGAGCCAGTACACACCGGAGCACGCAGCTCCATCCTGACATTATAGCACATTATGTAAAAACACCCACTTGCCTTTGAACATTGTAATAATGCCCAGCCTTGACATCTCTGCCCTATTACTCTTCGTATTTCTTCTTAACGTGCAGCTTACCTATACTCTTAACTTCATTTTCACATTCAAAACTGCCACATTTTTCTTTACTGCACAAATTTATCAGGAAACTATTTTCCCAAAATGTGCTGTAACTTGATCACTGTGCCATTTCTTCACATCCTGAAACCTGAAAGATTTATTTCTAATGTCTGGTCTTGAGTCTGACTGCATGTATTGAATTCGTGTTAATGTAGTACTGGAGTCTGAACACTATAACAGCCATCTAAAGAGCTTGCAAAGATAAGCACTTCTTTATGTTTCTTTAAATATTTAGTGGAAAGTCCCAGATTTTAAGTGTCTCCAAGGGGGTTGTGGACCCACCAATGAATCATCTACCAACGAGCGAATCAAGTGAAAGATCCATGCAGAGAATCCATGTTTCTCTCCAACCAATCAGGGAGCTACTTACATAGAGCCTTGTGGTTAATTTGCATTGCTTCAGGTTTTCAACCCTGAAGCAACCTTTCACACCTGCATTCACACCTATGGGCAATTTCCAATTAACTTAACCCCACTAACTGAATGTCTTTGGACTGTGGAAGAAAGTCAAAATACCCATCGAGAAGCCACGCAAACACGGGGAGAACATGCCAACTCCACACAGAAAGACCTCGGGCAGGTGGCGGAATTAAACTCAGGACCTTCTTGCTGTGCGGCAACAGTGTTAACCATGCTGTCCGGGATTAAGAATTAATTTTGAAAATATGATTTAAAAATAGTGTTTGAATAAATAAAATCATAAAAAATAATTTGCAAATGCATAATTTATTTTAGATTTCGTTTTATTTTAGATTAAGCACAATTCTTTATTTTGATGTGTGGCTCTTGTGATCCTCCAGAGTGCTATGTCAGTGTAATGGATCTAAAACTGTTAAAATCTTAAAGAACAACTTACAGTTGTAGATATTTCTGATATTAACAGCAACTCTGGCCTTCTTCTGTAAAGAAGAGTGCAACTGATGTCTTCTCTGTCTACAAAAAGATAAGAAAAACTAAGGAGTGCTGAATCATTCCAATATGCACACTGAAAAAAAGGGATTGGCCAACTCTTGGATTTACGTAAGCATCTTGCGTGTATTTAACACAAGTGCCTCGTGCTTTAAAGTTAAGTGTAACTATATAGTGTAGAAACTACATGATATGCAGAGAGGCAGATTAAATTGTTCATATCATGTTTGAGTGAAGTAAGTCAATAACTTTCTGCGACACTGCACGGGATCTCAGTGGTTTCAGGAAGGCATCCATCTCAGGCAAGTCGAGCAGCCGCCTCTACTTTTGTTGGTATACCGAAAAAAGTAAATTGGGCAGTTGTTACATTAAAAAAGTCTAACTTGTAATTTAAACACAATAATTTCATGTTTCTATGAACGTAATTAAATCATGAAGGATCTGTATGAAAGTCAACAACTTAATTTGTTCTTGTTGAGATGACCTGATACAATCTAGTGAGAGTGGTTAGTTGCTGAACTCAGGAAATTCACAGGATGGCACAAGATGTCAAACTGCAGGAAAATCACTGGTGTTATAAGAGGCAGACAGCTACACACACACCACGTGTATGCTATCACTATTTGTTGTGGTTTAACCTGTCAAGAACAAAAACGTACAAAAAAATTCTGCATCAAGCCGTGAAATCATAGCTTTCCCACTTTTGTTAAGTCTGGATTGGTGGCTTGGTACTGCTGCTGCTTCACAGTAAGAAGATCCTGGGTTTAAATCCACAATCTGGCTAGTTTGCACTGGGTTCTCTCTGTGTATTCTGGTTTCTTCCCGCAGTTAAAAGCCATGCAGTTGTTAGGGTTAATTGGTGATTCTAAATTACCTGCAAATGGTTGTTTGTGATAGACTTGAGTTGTCCAGGCTGTACCCTGCCTTGTAACCTATCACTTCAGGGTTATTTCCCTGGATAAAGACAGGAGAATGGTAGTTGTTGTAGATCCATTCACTTTTTATGGTAACCAGACTCTAGACTTTTTTGAACATTATGTAATATGAAGACAACATGAAGTATTTAAGTGACCAAGTAGTATTGGGCTATAATAAAATAAAATGAAAGAATTAAAACACTCCAGGAGCTCATCTTACTCCATCTGAACATGTTTCAATCGTGTTTCATGAACACAACATGCAGGTTTACTGAATATGAACAAGTTGTGTTGATTGAACTCAGTTGTTTAAGTTTCTGCCAAAGCAAAACCTTTGTGTGCAACCAGTGTCCACTATTGACTCAAGTCAATCCAACATGGCCTTTTTTTCAGTGCACAATTGTAAGAAGAAAGACTTGCTTATAATGAATGGATATGTTTTTCTTGCTTTTTCTTTACAGTCTCTAGTGTCTGCCTGTGTAGCATGCAGTTCAGAGTAAGGATGAAGTCAAATGATTCAGTAAAATTATTCTGTGTTGAAAGTAGAAACACTAAAAGCTTTACCTGTTTTGTTTCCATGCTTGAAGATGCAGATCCTTCCTGTTGAGGTAATTGAATGAATTTAAAGTGTGCTGCACTCTCTTTAGTGTTACAGACACAAAGTGAAGGTGATTAGTCTAATTAAGAATGAAAATGAAAACTTGCAAATCTCATAAACACATTATATTCACAGTGAATCGTGGAAAACATAAAATATTTAACCTCAGAAAATAGTCCATCTGATGCAAATTATTATTATAAAAAACCACAACGATAAGCTCAGTGCTTATCTGTAATATTTCGTCCTCCTGAGTGCAGCAATACATCTCAGGTTGAAAACTGCACTGGATTCACCTTCCAATCGTAGTCTAAAGAGCTTGCAAAGAAAAGCGTCTGGATGTCTTTAGGTTGCTTGAAGACTTGCTTCTCGGATGAGAGGGTTAGGGTGGTGTATGCTGTACAGTGCAGCGAGGAATGCCCAGACCTCTACATGGGAGAGACCAAACAGCCACTTCACAAGCGCATGGCACAACACAGAAGAGCCACCTCCACAGGACAAGACTCAGCAGTCCATCTGCATCTTAAGGTCAAAGGTCACTCTTTGAGGATGCCAATGTTCACATTTTGGACAGAGAGGACAGATGGTTTGAAAGAGGAGTGAAAGAAGCATCTATGTCCACTGTGAGCGACCATCTTTGAACAGAGGCGGGGTTTACGACCAGCGATGCGAATAACGGCGTTACAAGTAACAATGTTACTAAAGGCATTACTTTTTTCAGTAACGAGTAATCTAACTAATTACTATTCCTATCGTTACAACGTCGTTACAGTTACTAAGAAGAAAACGCGGTCCGTTACTAGTTTTCAACAAACAGACGTTGAAGCTGTGTTCAGCTTACTGCAGCTTATATCAGCTGCAGGAAGTAGCTGTAAGTAATCTGGACGCTGCAGCTTTAAGCAGCTGCGCTCTCCCGCGGACGGTGATCACGAGCACTGTCTGGAGCTCAGGGGGCAAAACAGTTACATGAGTGCTGCTGTTTGACTGAAGCAGAAGAATAAAGTAGTCCTGGTAAGTCAGTCAGATGACCACTTAAAGACGAAACAA